TTGTCTCTTTAACCGCGATTTAAAAATTTAAAATACTCGTATTACACGTAAGTATTTGTATGACCCTGTTTTCGTAAAGGCTTTCTAACATAAGTCGATATCGGCCGAGGAAGATAAAAAGGAAAGGCGTCGAACGTGAAGGAAGAGAAGGAATCATCAGCTTGAAGAATGGTTATTAACAATACGGATTTATCCATCGTTGAGTGCGGATGTGATATGCAAAGGAAACAGGAAAGGATGTCTTTTTCTGTGTGTTTATAATATCTCTTTTCTTTTTCCTTAATCTGCTTTTTTTTGACTTTTCATATAGAGTGTTTCTCCTTCATTTTTTCGATCTGTTAGAAGAGCCAACATAATAATGCAAAATAATGTCGTTTATTTAAAATATTGACACAAATATTGATTTTCCATTGCGTTGCTTTGGTATGATCCATGATCGTTCTTTTCAACAAGTTTTTAATTCGTTATACATTTTGTTAAATTTTCTGACACATATTCAGTGCCATGTTTAATAGTAAAAAAGTATTATTGAAAATTTGTTTAATAATTTATTAACTGTCTCAACGATATTTAACTATTATACTGTAGAAAAAATTTACTATTTAATGATGTGTCTTAATTTTGTGTAATTTTTACTTTTAATATGTAATTATAATACAATAATTAGGATCATAGATGATCTCTAAATTATTATATTTTAAAAGTACGTCTAGTTCAAAAAATAATTTTCATTGGCATTATTCAAGTGAAATTACAAAGCTTGAAATATACATATTCCATTTTTGTATTTGTTATTCAAATATAAAAAGGCTAGTGTTACGTTATACATTGGGTATGATTGTTTCTCACAAAAATCTTGATTTCTTTCTGATTCACAAAGAATTTCAGAATTTCTATATTCAGATATCTTCTACTGTAATAATGTCTATACTGTAGTAATTTTGTGTTAAAAAACTTGCATAAATCTTCTTACTTTAAAATGTCTACATTTTATAAAATACTCGTGAGATCAATTCCTAACATCGTTACAATCATCTTATCTATGCGATAACACGAGATACTTTTTTTTTTTTCCTAAAAAATTGATATGCAATGAGATACGATGAAGCAATTTCTAGAGAACAATTATTTATAATTATTAATCAGACTTTTTTTTTTTTTTTTTT